CTCTCCACTGCTCGTGCAAACATCCCACCCTCCCACCCGCAACTTGGTCGTAAAACCTTCTGAGATCATGACGGTGGGTACCAAATGGCACTTGGCAACGACACCGACGCCGACGACGACAGCGACAACGACGACGACGACGCCGCCGACAACGACGCCGCCGACAACGACTACGACGACACCGACGACGTCTCCAACGACTTCGACGACGACGACAACGACGACGACGACAACACCGACGACGACGACGACGACGACGCCGACGCTGACGACGACGACGATGACAACGCCGACGACGACGACGACGCCGCCGCCGACGCCGACGACGTCGACGCCGACGACGACGACGACGACGACGGCGACGACGAAGACGACGACGACGACGTCGCCAACGAAGACGACGACGACGACGAGGGATGAGGGAGGACGACGACGGCGACGACGACAGCGACGAGGGAGGAGGGAAGACGACGGCGACGACGACGACGACGACGGCGACGAAATAGGAGGAACACCGACGAAACGCCGACGAAGACGACGAGGGAGGACGACCACGGCGACAGCGACGACGGAAACGACGACGACGCCAAGACGACGAGGAGAAAGGACAGAGGACGACGACGGCGACGACGACGACGACGAGGGAGTAGGGAGGACGGCGACGACGATGACGACGCAAGAGCGCGCGCGCACGCTTTTGTTGAAAATCCGTGTTGCGAAACCTTGTGCTTTTATATGTTTTTTTGGACACACAATGTTAAAATCCTTCCAAAATCGAGGTGTTCTGAAGGATTTCGGCATACGCGCGCGACCACGCGCGCGTCTGCACTTCGTTTTATTCTTTGCAGAGGATTCTCGCGACGGAACACGCGCAAGGGCGTTCGACAGATTCCGACATGCGCGCGCGAGGCCCGTTTGATAGCATTTTGTGAAAATCGTGAAAACCTATGGTTTTCTTAAGATTTCGCAAGAGCTCGCGCGAAAGTTTTTGAGGAAATCAGTGTTGCGAAACCTGGAAACTCGATTGCGAAATCCTTCCGACACCGAAAGTTTTTGGAGGATTTCGGCATGCGCGCGCGACGGCGCGCGCGTGTGCACTTCGTCCAGTTTTTTGCCAGTGGTTCGTGAACAAGATGTCCCCGCGTATCGTTTTTTGCAAGGGAACCTCAGGGGGTCGATACCGGCCCCCCTGGGATAGTGTAAATTCATATTTAGGATGGACATGTGGTCAGAATTTGCAGGCCGCGTTGGCGCGCGGGCACTTCAGTGCGAGTCGGTGGCCCGGGCGGGCGCGGTATCATGGCGACGGCGACGCCGACAACGGCAGGCACGGTGATGATAGTATCGGTGAGACAATGATGACACTGGCGACGGCAAGGCCGATGACAGCGCCGATGCTGATCACGCCGATGGCGATCATAGTGTCCACGCGTCAGCGATGAAGGTTATGGAGGGATTTGGACATGCGCGCGTGGCCGACGGACGCGAGTGGCCTGTACGCTGTTATTTGGCGAGGGTCGCGCCCCTCCCCCCCCCAGCACGCGCGCAATGGCGAGCTCGCGCGAGAGGCCCTTTTCGGTCGAATTTGATGAGGACGATGGTGCAGATACGGTTCCCGTACGAGTTTGCAAAAGCGTGCGCTCATACTTGTTCTAAGCGCCATGCTGCAAAACCACATGACGGTTTCCAAATGTGTTCGGGGAGCTTCGACCTTGAAATCCATGCGAAACCTCAGTTGTTCGAGAGATGTCGGCATGCGCACGCGACGCCGCGCGCGCGTGGAAATGGGCGGTTTAACGAGGCGCAGTTGCAAAGGGAATAAGAATATCCCAAAATGACTAGTTTTGAGCATGCAGTGAGCGGGAAGCATAAGCATACAGTCTAGAAGAAGTTCATAAGTAAGCGGATGAAGAAGCAAGAAGAAGAAATAAAATACTACTAGAAAATAAAAAGAATGCCAACGAAAAGCCACATAAAAAGAAAAGCGGCATAAGAAGAATCAGAGCCGAAGTTAAGAATAAGTCAAGCTGCCTCCTCCTCCTCCGACTCCGTAATCGGAAGCATGAACGAAGTCACCTCATCCTCCCTCCCTGCATCTCATTCATCCTCCTCCTCCCCGTTACTCCTCCTCCCTCATCCTCCTCTCTCCGCTCCTCCTCCGCCACAGTCTTCATTGACCCGACGAGCCGCGGCTGCTGATCCGTCACCCCGAGGGCCGAGGGGGGGGTTAGAACCCCCCCCCCCCTCTCCCCTGATGGAGGGGGGGGGTTCGAACCCCCTCCCCCCCCTCCCCCCGCCTTCATCCCCTACTTCTCCTCTCTACCTCTCCTCGGGCCGGCGGCGGCGGCGGCGGCTGGCGTTGGTGGCAGAGACGACTTCCTTTTCTGGGCCGGCACCGGCGCCTGCGGCGACGGGCGGCGGCGGCGGAGAGCGTCGACGAGGACGACGGCGACGACGACGACGACGACGACGACGACGCTCCGCCACCGTGCCTTGCTTGTGGGTCAGAGTCCCAATGCCTCTTGGGGTCTCGTCGGTGGGCTCACAGGGTCCTCTGAAGGGCATTTGTGAAGCCTCCTGGGCTCCTCTTGGGCGTCTCTTGGGGCCTCTCTGACGTGGTGGTGGTGGTGGTGGGCTGTGGTGGTGGTGGTGGTGGTGGTGGTGGTGGTGGTGGTGGTGGTGGTGGTGGTGGTGGTGGTGGTGGTGGTGGTGGTGGTGGTGGTGGTGTGGTGGTTGGTGGTGGTGGTGGTGGTTGAGACCGCATGGGGCCCATTGTAAGCCGGTGCGCAATGCAAAACCACGGCACGGTAGCAGCACGACACTGTCACTTGCAGCCATGACAGAACAAACGAGAAAAACAGGGAAACCCCATTTATCCTTGAGAGCCGGCCTCGCAGCAACTGACTATCGCAGAGGCTGGCACGGCACGCTTCAGCCCGCGACGGAAGCGGGCCTGCTCCCGCTTCCGCTGGATAGCCTGGAATCCCCTGGTGCAGTTCGGGCGTGAACGCCGTTCGGGTTGGAGGAGGAGGAGGAGGAGGAGGAGGAGGAGGAGGAGGGAGGGACGGGATCCATTCCTCCGAGTCGGGGTCGACCTAGCTACTGGGCCTATCAGAGGCCACGTCAGTCTCAGGAGGTCCCGACGGAGCCACCTGCGGGGAGGGACGGTTAGACCTGATGCCCGGAGGCCCACCTCTGTGTTGAAAGCCAGCAAAATCTAGGGCAGTACCTTCCGAGGTAGCAGCATATAGGGGTCGAGGGCCCAGGAGGGAAAGAGGGAGGAGAAGGGAAAGTATGAGGAGAAGGAAGGAGGAGACCGAGGAGGGAGGGAAGGAGGGAGGGAGAGAGGGAGGAGGGGAGCAGGGAAAAGGGATGGAAGGAAAGGAAGCAGGGGGAGGTTGGAAGGAAAGGGGATGGAAGGAGGAACGGGGGAGGAAGCAGGGGGAGGATGGGCGGGGAACGTGAAGGATGGGAGGAGGAGGAGGAGGAGGAGGAGGAGGAGGAGGAGGACG